CCCCCCCAGCAACTTCTACTCCTAACGTCCCTTCCCACTCCCCTCTCACCCTCCCTCCCTCCCGTCTAACCGTTCCTGTTCTACAATGCTCCCTTCCTCTTGTCCTGTTCATCTTGTCCCCCCGCCGCCGCCACCCCCGGCAATGAAGTCGGCCGTGCGCATGATCAAGGTGATCTCGGCCGTGTCTCTGGGCATCGGGGCCGTCAACACGGTCCTCGGATATGTGTTGACCGCCGGCCTGCCGTGGATCTTCACCCCGGACCGCGCGGTGTGGGCAGCGGTGCGGAACGTTGCGCCCCTCTGCGGGCTGTCCCTCGGTCTGTATGGCATCACCATGGCGTTCCAGGTGTGTACAGCAGCAGCCGTAACCGCTCTCAGCGTGTAGGAGGGGGGGGGGGGTATTCATAGTCGTGCATGCCGTTATCGTCAGACCATTGACCTCGCATCCCTACAAAGCCGGAACGGAGCACGCCGGGTTCTCACCGGATCAGGCTCTCACATCACCAAGCGCGAAGCGCCGTGAGGTATTCGGCGAGTCGCATGAAGGGTGCGCTGCATCCTGCTAAGGGTGTTCGGCATCTTGTGCTTACTTCCTTGCGTACGGATGACAGCTGCGTATGACTTGAAATATTTTCTGGTTCTTTTAATTCCAGAGGCAGTTATAAGCACTGTGTAACTGCCTCGACAGTGCTTGACCATTTTAACACAACGTGGTGCGATCATCCCCCTTGCGCGGAACGAGGGTTCTCGACCCCGCACAACATGATCTACTCGACCACCATTCATGGTTACCGCAAAGAAAAAAAACAGAGGTAAAAACAAAAAACGGTAACCTGGTTGCCGAGTTCACGAAGTGACTTGGCTTGTTTTACAACGTCGTTGCCAAGCGACGAAAACCCAATCCCGATGGCAAACACCGCGGGGGTGGGGGGGGCTGGGCTTTTTTTCCATCCGTGGCTAACACAAAAACGCGCGTGCACGATAAAATATATGTATGTAGGGCAAGTTAGCCTGTGACCACGGGAATCGACTGCGTCAAGTGGTAGATCGATGAAGGTCCTGGGCAGAGAGAGATCGGAACGGTTTTTCATGTGAAGACAGCTACAACAACATCGGAGCAACCGCTCCCCGCCCCAACGTTCACCACGACCGCACACACCAAACCAAAACCCCGGCCGCTCTCCTGCTGTCGGCAGGGTGCGATGATGGCGACGAGGGAGGTGTACCCCACGGCGGCTATCTACACGGTGTGCAGCGTGCTCTTCTCGGGGAACTTCGTGCTCATGAGGAGGTCGCCGTCTCTCAAGCTTGCGTCCGTTTGGGCGGTCTTCGTGGTGTACCAGGCAAGCTTAAGCTTAAGCTTTTGCTTTCGGTCGTAAAACATACTGGATTGAGTATAGAATAGTCCAAGTTGGGGGCTAGGGGTTAGGGTCTGTGTACCCCCTGCTCCGTGCGTGGTCTTTTTTCGTGAAAAACGCTGTACAACGAGCGTTTTGCGCGGTTCTCCGAAACATCACGAAAACCAAGAAAAAAAACTTTTGAGAAAATCCACTTTGAGCCGACCAACCGGTGGATCAAAGATTTTCAAGGTCGACTATTATACCCCTGCGTACCATAGGTGTAGGTATTATAGTGCACCATTGAGGTCTCGGCAAAGACCTCGGTTTTGTGGCATCCCCTAGGTCTTTGCGAAGTGTAGAACAAGTCGCAAATGGGCTCACGCTGTTCCACTTTTTGTAAAATCGGGACTATCTCGTGGCCCAGAGGAAGTCCATTTTTTGTTGAGGCAGTCCTTTGCTTTTGACTATTAAGGCCCTTTGCCTTTGCCCGCACAAACGTGTGGCATCGAAATGTACCCAACGGAAAGCCAACGTGCGCACTTGTTGGTATTCCTGCTTTCTTTTTTGGTCGTCTCGAATCTCGTCTTTTTCGCTGTGTCTACAAATACGTGTGTGAATTTTGTCCTTTCAGAGGAAGGATACATACACTTTTCTGGGCGTGGGCTTTTCCACCGTAGGGCCAGGCAGGCCGTCTTTAAGCAGCGTTAGAGACTAAGCTGCGAAAGCAAGTAGTGCATTGGTACACGTGGTGCTGATGCCGTTCTTGTTGTTTGTCTCCTTCTTCCCTCTAACGCCGGGCTGTGTGGGGAAAAAATGAGAGTCGGGCTTTCAGTGTTGGCCGGGTGATACGCTCCCCCCCCCCCCCCCCCCCGGGACTATCTGTTTGCCATCCTAAGGGCGTTTTGCCCGCCTTCATTTGTTGCCAACAACACGTGACCCGTACGCTCCGCCCCCCCGCCGGGGACTATTTTTCTCCATCCTAACCGCGTGGCCCCTTTTCTTCTTTTTTTTTTTTACAAACAAACAGGTGAACCCGGTGCGTGCTGTTCGCGGGTACCGTCGGCTGGTCCCACCGCGTGAGCTTCCGGGAGAACTTCTTCTCGTCATCATCATCCGACGACGACGACTGGGGCGGAAGCAGCAGCAGCAGCAGCAGCCAGAACGCCCCCGCCTCCGGCGGCGTGGGGATGGCCACTGCGGTACCATAAGGCTGCGGCGGTAGTTCAGGAGAACGCCGCGGACGCGCTGCTGTCGGAAGCGGCTTCTTCTTCTTCTTCTTCTTCTTCTTCTTCCGGTGCGGGCTTGAAGCCCCTGCTTGCCTTCTCGCGTTTGGCGGCTGGGTTGGCCTCGCGCCGCAAGCTGGTTGCTCCGACGTTGCCCACTTTGTTTGGAGGTGAGGGTGGGGAAGCAACGCGTGGATTAATTGTGGTTT